ACTTAACAAATGTCTAACTTAGCAACAGAAATTGTCCAGTGGTGCATCACGTGATCCTGGGTCCTACATCCACGTCGGTTGCCAAGTGCCTGAAATTTGGATTATGTGACCTATGAGGGTGCTGTGATGGTCGTAACTGCGAGGACTGGCTATAAGTCCCTTCTTTCAATGCTGTTGCAACTTTGAATAATGATTCTCAGTTGAGGATTACCTGCAGCAGGTAAAATGAACCTGGCACTCTTTGGTAGGCTGGGTTACTATGCCCAAGCCCACCCACCTCACCAGTCCACCAGCAGATATCCCCCTCCTTAAATTACCAAGTAGTTACAACAAAGCAAAAAGCAAGCAAAATTGCCAGCAAACACCCCCCCCCTTCCCAAGAATGGCAGGGCACGATGGTGGACCTGACAGGGTTTGTGCATTCAGTAATATTGAGGGTTTGTGCATTCAGTAATATTGAAGGTTCCATCCAGATGTAAAAGAGCCTTGAAGTTAATTCTGTGTCATTCTGAAGAAAGGCATAGATTTTGTTTTGTTTTTTTATTTTTTTATAGAGATTTTATTGGTTTCCTTTTGCATATATATGTTAATTTTTCCAATCAACGAGCTGTCTGGGGTTAGCTATCCTAATACATATTCTATTCCTAATCCTTCATTCTTTCCTCTAACCAACAATAAAATAAGTCCCAAATTTGGTAGTAGTCTGTGTCTTCTTTATCTTTCAGTCTCATAGTTAATCTGTCCATCTCTGCACATTCCAATATTTTTCGGATTATTTCTTCTTCTGATGGCAATCCTTCATTCTTCCAGTATTCTGCAAAGATTATTCTCGCTGCTGTAGTGATGTGTAAAATTAAATATAAACTCTGGTTATTAATCTTTTCAGACATTATACCTAGTAAAAAAAGTTCAGGTTTAAAATCAACATGTTCACCTAATATTTTTTCTAACCATGTATGTATCTTTTTCCAATAAGCCTTAGCTTTGCCACATGCCCACCAAATGTGATAGTACGTGCCTGCGTTGTGTTTACATTTCCAGCATCTATTGCCTGCGTTGTGTTTACATTTCCAGGATCTATCTGACATATTTTTAAACATTTTTGCTAATCTTGCTGGTGGCAAGTGCCATCTATAAAACATTTTATACAAGTTTTCTTTATACGAAGTTGACATTGTTAATTTGTAATTTCTCTCCCATAGCATTTGCTACTTTTCTAGTTCTATATTATAGCCAAAGTTTTTCGCCCATCTTATCATTGTTTCTTTAACTTGTTCACTTTCCATTTCCAAAATTAACAAAAAATTATACATTTTCTTAATTAATTCCTCATCTGAGGTTAACAAAATCCTATCAAACACAGTTTGATCTTTATAGAATGCATACATTTTCACATCTTTTTCATATCTATTTTGCATCTGTAAATGTGTCCACCACGACAGGTTGATCCCCTGATTTTTCCAGTTCTTGCTTAGATTTTAAATTCCCATCAATATTTAGAATATCTCTATATGCCCATATTTTTTGAAAGTCTACCAAGTTCGGATGTATAAATGCCTCCATCGCTGATAACCACCCTGGAATTTTTAGGTATATTTTAGCTTTAATTTTTTCCCATACTGTTAACAAGACATTTCTTATATAGTGATTTTGAAAATACTTATGAGCTCTATTTTTCCCATACCATAAGAAAGCGTGCCACCCCAATTGTAAATCATGTCCCTCTAGATACAACAACCTTTTGTTTCTAAGCATTATCCATTCTTTCACCCGTGTTAAAACAGATGCTTGATAATACAAGGCCCATTCCGGCAACCCAAATCCTCCATTTTCCTTAGCGTCTTGTAGTGTTTTCATCTTAATTCCAGCTTTCCTCCCCTGCCAAACAAAGTTCAAAATTAATGAGTTTAAATCTTGAAAGAATTTTTTCTCAAGTTTTATCGGAATTGTTTGAAATAAAAATAGAATCTTCAGCAGTACGTTCGTTTTTACTGTAGCAATTCTTCCTAATATTGACAACAAGAGCCTTGAAGTTAATTCTGTGTCATTCTGAAGAAAGGCATAGATTTTGATCTTAAAGATTGTGGCCTCTTTCCTTAATCTGTGATCCTACTTGAGATGGAAACAGCCAATCCAGAGCTGGAGTAACCTTCAGAAAGATCAGGCTACAATATTTTATTATTGTAATGGGGGTAAATACAGTAACCTCCTGCAGTGCAAAGTCTAACTTTTTTCTTGCCTAACTGGGGAGCTCCTATCACAGTGATGGCGAACCTTTTAGAGACCGAGTGCCCAAACTGCAACCCAAAACCCACTTATTTATTGCTGGGTGCCGGGTGGGCGTGGCCCGCTGGGTGGGCGTGGCTGTGGTGGTCATGGCAGACTGGGTGGGTGTGGCCAAGGTGGGCGTGATCACCTCAATGTTTCTCGTGGGGAGGGACACCTATGGGGGCCGGGCAGGGGGAGATCCAGGGGAGTCTCTGGCAGGTGGGGCGGTGGGTAGGAGGCTCGTCCTGCGGGGTGAGGCAAGGCAAGGCGAGGCAGGGCAGGGGTGCCATTGCCGCAGGGCAAGGCGGGCCAGGGGCCCGGGCGGCTGCTGCCTGACACCATCGGCCCCCGCACACAGAGGCCAGCGAGTGCATGGGGGCCAACGGCATCCATCAGCAGCCACAGCCTGCCGGCCCCTCGACCGGCACACTCTGGGGCTCTGCAGCCCGCCACCAGCAGTTCAGAGAAGCCGCCTCTGAGCTGGACGGCCAGCTGACAGCTGAGGAGGCGATGCAGTGGGTCGTGCCCAGGAAAAGGAGAGCATGCGAGGCCAGGAGGGATGGGACGGGGAGGGGGAGGGAAACCAGCCATGCTGGGATGCATCCAGCCATGTGGGACCTCAGCGAGTTAACGGGCGACTGATTGAAGAGGGACAGTTGCCATCTCCGGGGCATGGCGTGCGTGCCCACAGAGAGGGCTCTGAGTGCCGCTTCTGGCACGCGTGCCATAGGTTCGCCACCACTGTCCTATATACTGAGGATATGGATAATACAGGTAGTGCTTGAGTTAGGAATGGAATGGAGCCTGCCCATTCCATTCGTAACTCAAGGATTTGTACCTTGAAGGTGACTCAATCCCAACTTTCACCAACGCATTTGCTAATTTAATGAGTGGGCAAATGCATGGCTTGTTAAGTAAACATGAGCTATTTCAGGGTGAGGAAGGCAATGGATGGCCTAGTTACGGAACAGGCCATCTTCAGATCACCCAAGGCCTCCCCCGATCCACTGAAATACCCCGTGCTCCCTTCCCTGGCGACCCACAATTGCTCCCCCTATCCTGTCCCTCCGGGTCACTTCCCTTTCCAGCCTGTTTCTTTCTCTGCAACCCGGCAAGAGCAGAGGAGGCTTCCGAGGCCCAGAATGGACCTCCGGAAGCACATGGCCACCTCCCCTGCCTCCGTTCTGGGCCTCGGAAGGCCCGCTGAAACGGGCCACAGCGTCATTGGCCTTTTTTCCTGGCTTTTTCCTTTTCCTCCTCCGGCTTCCATTCCGTTCTCTTTTGCAGAGAACAGAGGCCTAAACTACCGTGAGCTCACACGTGATCAATAGTGTGAGATCTGGCGTCACTGATCTCGCGTGATCTCATGTTACTTTAGGCCTCCATTCTCTGCGAACACACCAAAGGAAGCAGCGTAACAGCCAAGAAAGCGAAGGAACTCTCAATCTTCGCAAGGTGAGTGGATACTAGTCCAAAGAAAAGAAGAAATAGGAGAGACATGATAGCAATATTCCAGTAGTTGAGAGGCTGCCCCAAAGAGGGGGTCACGGTATTCTCCAAAACACCAGAGGGCAGGGCAAGAAACAATGGTTGGAAACTGATCAAAGAGAGAAGCAACCTGGAATTAAGGAGAAACTTCCTGACAGTGAGGAGAATTAACCAGATTTTTAAAAAGAGGGTAGACAGTCACTTCTCTGAGATGGTATAGGTTCTCCTACTTGAGCAGGGGGTTGGACTAGAAGACCTCCAAGGTCCCTTCCAGATTCTATTCTATTCTTATTCTATTCTAGTGGCTAGGGAGACCTGTACCTGTATCTCAAAAACCTTTGTTGGCCTTAGAAAGTCTCGTTTCTGTTAAAAAGCTTTAAAGATGAGGGGACCATTGAGAGCATCCAATTTACAAGAGTTTCAGATAACTGGGGATTGTCTTGCATGGGGCTGACATTTGGAAAACCCATTTAGATTATATCAAACAATGAGAGGGAGGAGCTCGGTCACATCCCCAACAATGAAGGCCAAATTAGCCCTAGTGTCAGGTCCTGCCAGTTCCTGCCATCTGGAGGGGCATTCGAGGGTGGTGGTAGACAAATGGACAATACGATTGTGTGTACGTGACGGGAAATAGGGAGGGGGAAACGACAGGTGATGAAGACCATAGAAGCCCAGAATTGGTTTGTACCAGAGGCACCTTTTGCTTCAATCCGATGGAAGTCGAGGGTCTTTCTTTCCTAAGGGACACAGTTGGGGCAGGTCAGACGCCTAGATTCTGCCACATTACATTGTTCAAATTAGGCAGAGTTGGAAGATCATTTAAAAGCAACTTATTAGAGTAATCTAACAAAGAGGTTTCCCCTAATGAAAAGAGGAGTCCAGGACACATTCAGTAGAAAAAGTACAAAAGAATACTTGATTGGATGGAAGAAATGTTACATCAAAAACATGGACAGTAAGATAAACATCCCATAATATTGAGCATAACTATTTGAAAGAGCATTTTATTAAAAGAACATTTGCATGGGAAAAGGCATGACGTGTCACATAAAAACGAACAGTGAAGTTTTATTCACTTGAAAAGGCAAAGCCATAATCTAGCAGGGCAGTTGGGGAGGATGAGTTGTAATGTTGGCTGCGAAATGTTGCCAGATGGGCTGTTTTTCTACCTGACTGATTAGTTTTGGAGGTTTCTTGCAGGAAAGCTGGGGCCTTGGTGGGTTCATTGGGGGGGGAGGCTGTTTTGGCCTATTTTTAAGGGGGTTAGGTTTTAGGGCAGTATATCAAACTATCATGAAGGATATCTGCAAAATACATTGCAGAAGCAGGCAGGGCTGGATCAGCCATCCAAATGTCCTGCCATCAAATGTCTAGGAGAGGAGGGAAATGGGCAAGAAACCTGCTGTGGGAATTAGTGGCGGGAGGGAATGATAGCTGAGGAAGAGCAGATCAACATGGAACCAGTTTGTGCCAGGCATCTTCAAGGGCGTTTACAAGTATCATGACTGAAGGTCTTTCCACACTCAGGCATATTTAGGGTTTTTCCCCTGTGGGAATCTTTTGATGTCAATGAAGGTGTACACCGTCAGAAAAGCTCTTTCCACACTCAAGGCATTTATATGGTTTTTCTCCTGAATGGATTCTTTGATGCTTAGAAAGCCTTCCCTTCTCACAGAAACTCTTTCCACTCTCCAGACATTTCTGTGGTTTTTCTCCAGTGTGGATCCTTTGATGTCTGCGGAGCTGTCCACTCACAATAAAGCTCTTTCCACATTCCAGGCATTTAAATGGTTTCTCTCCTGAGTGGATCCTTTGATGTATATAAAGGCTGCTGCTCTGAGTGAAGCTCTTTCCACACTCCAGGCATTTATGCTCTCTCTTTCCTAAATGGATCTTTTGATGTCGGTAAAGGCTACTGCTCTGAGTGAAGCTCTTTCCACACTCTAGGCATTTATGTGGTTTTTCTCCTGAGTGGATCCTTTGATGTCTATAAAGGTGTCCCCTCTGACTGAAGCTCTTTCCACACTCCAGGCATTTATACGGTTTCTCTCCTGAGTGGATCCTTTGATGTTTATGAAGACTGCTGCTCTGAGTGAAGCTCTTTCCACACTCCAGGCATTTATATGGTTTTTTTCCTGAGTGGATCCTTTGATGTGTATGAAGGTGTCCCCTGTGATTGAAGCTCTTTCCACACTCCAGGCATTTATACGGTTTTTCTCCTGTGTGGATCCTTTGATGTTCATAAAGGCTTCCGCTCTGACTGAAGCACTTTCCACACTCCAGGCATTTATGCGGTTTCTCTCCTGTGTGGATCCTTTGATGTTTATAAAGGCTTTCGCTCTGAGTGAAGCTCTTTCCACACTCCAGGCATTTATACTGTTTCTCTCCTGAGTGGATCCTTTGATGTTTATAAAGGCTGCTGCTCTGAGTGAAGCTTTTTCCACACTCCAGGCATTTAAATGGTTTCTCTCCAGTGTGGATTTTTAGATGGATTTCAAGATTTCCATTTTTTTGGAAGGATTTTCCACATTCCTGGCACTGATATTTCTTTTCTCCCTTCTGGAGTCTTCCTTCTGTTCTTCTCTCACTGAAGTTCTTTCCACACTTCAGGCGTTTATGCTGTTTCTCTCCAGTGTGAATCCTTTGATGTTGATAAAGGTTGCTGCTCCGAGTGAATCTCTTTCCACACTCCAGGCATTTATGCTCTTTCTCTCCTGAATGCGTCTTTTGATGTTGATAAAGGCTGCTGCTCTGAATGAAATTCTTTCCACACTCCAGGCATTTATACGGTTTTTCTCCTGAGTGGATCCTTTGATGTGCATAAAGGCTTCCGCTCTGACTGAAGCTCTTGCCACACTCCAGGCATTTAAATGGTTTCTCTCCTGTGTGGATTCTTAGATGGATTTGAAGATGGTCATTTCTTCTGAAGGATTTTCCACATTCCGGGCACTGATGTTTCTTTCCTCCCTCCTGGATTCTCTGGGGATTCCCGAGTCTTCCGCCTCTTCTGAAGGACCCTCCGCCCTCCAGGCCCGTCTCGGGATCTCCGCCCGTTTCCTGCTCCCCGCTTCTCCCTCCAGGCGGCCTCCTTTCCCGGAGTCCCCTTCGGCTCATCCCTGCCGGGCCTCCCCCGCCGTCTCCTCCCGGGGAGCGCCCCTTTCCTCCGCAGGGCTCGCCCGTCCTCCTGCAAGAGCAAAGGAGAGGCGGGTCACGGCTCCGTCCCTTTCCCGAGGGGCCCCAGACGCTCCCCGGGGAGGAAGGCCGAAGCCTCCGCCTGTCACGGATCAGGCCCACTCCCTCCCTCCCTCCCTCCGAGACCATCTTTGACTGCGTCTCCCAGCATCCCCTGCGCCAAACCTGCAGCCCGGCTCCTCTCTCGCCGATTCCGGAAGCTAGCTCGTTGCCCGTTTTGTTTCCGGAAGTGGAGGCGGGACTTCTTTTCGCGTCCTTCTCCAAGAATATCCGCCTGTTCCTCTGGACTAGGGCCCGCCCCAAGGAGGCCCCCTGCCAATCGCCGTGCTCCCCCGAGCGACCAATCGGAGTCCTCTTTCCTCAACCAGGCAGATGGCGCCTGCGCGGTGCTGCGGGGCTTCCTGCTCCTGGCACGGAGGGGAGAGGGGGGGCTCCGTTTGAACTTTGGGGTCCGCTCTTCCCCCCCCTCGCCCCGCATCCAGGCAGGCGCAGCTGGGGGGCCCTTCCGGGGCTGCGTCTCCGCCCCTCCCTCATCCGGGCTCTCTCCCTTGGCAGGGCGGGGGTGGGGGAGCTGGGGGGGGCGATTCCCCCCTTCGCCCTCCTGGGGGGCTCCAGCCAGGCTCCCCCCGAGGCCTCCAGGCTGCCGGGCCTCCTCTCTGCGCCTCGCCCCAAGATCTCCATGGTGGGGAACTGGCAGCCTTTGGATCCGTCTCGGAAGGTATTTCGGGACGGCCTCGGAAGAGAGTTCCAAGGCCCGCCCGGCCGCCCGGGGAGGAACACCTCCGCCTCTCACGGGCCTTCGGGGCAGGCACGAGAGGCAGACACACACACACACACCCGTCACACCAGGCCTCGTGCTGCACCACTCCCTCTCCCTCCCAGGGATTCCCTACTCCGGGAGAGTCTCTCAGACTGCGACTCCCAGCATCCCCTGCGCCCTACCGGCATCCGGGCGCATCCGCCCCCGAAACAAGAAATTCCGGAAGGATGGGCCAGACCTCTCTTCCGGCCAGGCTCCGCCCCTTCCTCCTCTGGAAACCGCCCCCTGCAGCTCTGCTCTATTTGTCCGGGAGGAAATGCCTCCGCCCCCTCGTTCATTTGCATCGGGGCTCCTTCTACGCCATCCCATTGGCGGGTATCGCGTGGCCCCGCCCCCCTGCTCGACTCTGCCGTGCCCCTATTCCTCCCGCCTGGGCTCCTCCCCTCCTTTGGCCCCGCCCTTGGGCTGCTGTTCCTTTTACCCCCCCCTCCGCGGCGGCTCTTCCGCCCTGCCTCCTCGCCGCCCTGCTTGCTCCGCTGGGAGATGGGCTGCCCGGAGGGGCTGCGAGGGACGGGGTGGATGGAGGCTCCCCTTGCCGGCCTGGGGACCCGTCCCGCCTCCGCTGCAGCCTCCTCTCTCCCCGGAGCTGCTCCTTTTCCCCCGCCAAGAAGCCTCTGCTGGGTCCGGGTCTGCCCTGCGCTGGCGTTCAGTCACACGGGCATCTCCGCGTGGCCCCCTTTCCTTCTCTCCTCCTGGGGTTAGGGGGCTTTGCAGCTGGGCCTTATTCGCTGCTGGGTCTCCCTTGGCAAGGCGCCCCCCCCAGCACCCCCCTAGTCCAGACGCCCGAGCACAGTGGGTGGGCGGTTTGCACTCATAGAACTGGAAGGGGCCTTGGAGGTCTTCTAGTCCAGCCCCCTACTCGATCAGGACACCCTATATCATTTCAAACAAGTGACTGTCCGGTCTCTTCTTAAAAACCTCAAAGCGATGAAGCACGTGCGAATTCTGAAGGCAAAACTGTTTCCCGGGTTAACTGTCCTCACCGTTAGGAAGTTTCTCCTTAATTCCAGGCTGCACTTCTGGAACTAAAGGAAGGAGACAACGCTGGACCTCTAGAGCAGGGGTAGGCAACCTTGGCTCTTTTATGACTCGTGGACTTCAACTCCCAGAATTCCTGAGCCAGCTTAGCTGGCTCAGGAATTCTGGGAGTTGAAGTCCACGAGTCATAAAAGAGCCAAGGTTGACCACCCCTGCTCTAGAGCAAAGCTGAGCACAGCTGTGGAGGGAGAGAATAATAATGATGATGATGTTGGAAGGGACCCTGGAGGTCATCTAGTCCAACCCCTGCCCAGGCAGGAAACCCTATGTCAGTGATGGCGAACCTTTTAGAGACAGAGTGCCCAAACTGAAATCCAAAAACCACTTATGTATCATCGGGTGCTGGATGGGTGTGGCCCATTGGGTGGGCGTGGCTGCGGTGGTACCGGCAGACTGGGTGGGACTAAAAAGTTCAATCAATCAATTCCAACTTTGCGAAATATATATATTTTTTCCCACGAGAAGCTGAAATTGATTGAACCTTTTTTTTTCCCACACGGTAGCGGAGGCCTAAAGCGAAAAGGTTTTATAAAACCCAGCTGAAGGCCTAGGATTGGGGCGATGGCGTGCGTGCCCACAGAGAGGGCTCTGCGTGCCACCTGTGGCATGCGTGCCATAGGTTCGCCACCACGGCCCTATGTCATGTCAGACAAATGGCTGTCCAGTCTCGTCTTAAAAACTTCCAGTGTTGGAGCATTCACCGCTTCTGGAGGCAGGTTGTTCCACTGGTTAATTGTTCTCACTGTCAGGAAGTTTCTCCTTCGTTCCAGGTTGCTTCTCTCCTTGGTTAGTTTCCATCTGTTGCTTCTTCTCCTGCCTTCAGGTGCTTTAGAGAATGGCTTGACTCCCTCTTCTTTAGGGCAGCCCCTGAGATATTGGAAGACTGCTATCATGTCCCCCCTTCACTGAGATGCTCTCACCCTTGTGAGTCAGAGCAGGGGGGCAGTACTGGGGGGAGGATGTCTCGGCCATGGCTTACAATAATTACAGTGGTGCCTTTGGAGAGGCTCCCAGGGTGAGATCTGCATGGAGGGGAACTGGCAGCCTTTGAACCCATCTCAGAAAGTATCTCAGGGCCCATCCTCCCCACCGACAGTTGGCTGTGGGTCCTGGAAGGCTCTGTTCTCAAATCCTCAATCCTTGCATGTCTATGGAGCTTCTCAGTCATCCTGGTCACGGTCGTCTCAAAGGTGCTTTGTGCAATAAGGTTTAATAAGATTGTGTGTTTGTTGTCACTGTGAATTGTATTGGGGTGTGTGTGTGTGTGTGTGTGCACGAAGGGAGGCTTAGCCAATCTAATAATAATAATAATAATAATAACAATAATAATAGTAAAGTTGGAAGGGACCTTGAAGGTCATCTAGTCCAACTCCCTGCTCAGGCAGGAAACCCTATACCATTTCGGACAAATGGCTGTCCAGTCTCTTCTTAAAAACTTCCAGTGTTGGAGCATTCACTGCTTCTGGAGGCAGGTTGTTCCACTGGTTAATTGTTCTAACTGTCAGGAAGTTTCTCCTTAGTTCCAGGTTGCTTCTCTCCTTGATTAGTTTCCACCCGTTGCTTCTTGTCTTGCCTCCAGGCGCTTTGGAAAATAGCTTGACTGCCTCTTCTTTATGGCAGCCCCTGAGATATTGGAACACTGCTATCATGTCCCCCCTCGTCCTTCTCTTCGTTAAACTAGACATACCCAATTCCAGCAACTGTTCCTTATATGCTTTAGCCTCCAGTCCCCTAATCATCTTTGTTGCTCTTCTCTGTACTCTTTCTAGAGTCTCAGCATCTTTTTTACATCGCAGTGACCAAAACTGGATGCAATATTCCAAGTGTGGCCTTACCAAGGCCTTGTAAAGTGGTATTAACACTTCACGTGATCTTAATTCTATCCCTCTGTTAATGCAGCCTAGCACTGTGTTGGCCTTTTTGGCAGTTGCAGCACACGGCTGGCTCATATTTACCGTAGGTGATTGTCCACTAGGACTCCGAGATCCCTCTCACAGTTACTACTATTGAGCAAGGTGCCACCTATGCTGTACTTGTGCATTTGGTTTGTCTTGCCTAAATGTAGGACCTTACTTTTTTCACCCTTGAATTTCATTTTGTTAGATAGCGCCCAGTGTTCAAGTCTGTCCAGATCCTTCTGTATCTTAAAGTACACATGTTGTACTTTGACAATAGAGGTTGATTTGGTTTGATTTAAGAGGCAACCAGACTCTTTTTTTTTTCATTCCTTGAGGAAGAGTTTTCGCTTCTTAACCAAGAAGCTTCATCCGTCCTTGCACTTCCTCTTTTCTCTCTCTCTCTCACACGCACACTCTTCCGACAACTTTCACCCCGTGGGAGCTGGGACCGCTTCCTGTTCTTGCCTGATGCCTCATGGAAAACCAAATCTTTCTTTGATCGGGCAGCTTGGGAGGAACCAGAGCTGTGAATCTGGAGCCCTGGTCAGGCCAGCCAG